CTCTTGGAATACGATCTGCACAACCACCTACACCATCATGTCAAGCAGTTGTTTATGTACAACAACCATTTTCACTAGCGTTACTGAGAGTAAGACAATACAAAATAAAAATGATTTGTTATAATGTTTATCTATAGCTTTTTCGATCGAAATCTTATGTTGTTCTATTTATTGGTTGTGGACTTGCAATTGGATGTTTTAATACACTTTCAACATTAGTTCAACAAATGATGTGTCCATTTGGTTATGATAATGTAACAGTTGGCTTTTGTTTGGGATGGTTTATTGGTGCTGGAAGTTTGGGTTCATTGGTATTTGGCTATTTCGCGGATAAAACAGGGAAATTAGAGGAAATCTCAAAAATATTATATGCTACAAGTTCAATTGCTTATATTCTTCTTGTCTTGGTATAAGAATGTTTTATTAAATAAAATATTTTATTTCATTTTTCTATAGTTTATTATCAATCAAGTATGGAAATATTTTATTTATTTTGCATTTGCTTTTGTTGGTTTTGTATCATTACCATTATCACCTATATCAATGGATTTAAGTCTTGAATGTGTTTATCCAATACCAGAAGCAACTGCAACAGGAATTAGTGTTATGTCCAGGTAAAGAAATAAATTCTTAAGGGTGTGGGTTAAGAATGAAGGGAATACTGACACCCTCGCCCACACCGACCCTCAAAATATTATACTCGAATTATTTTCAATTATATAATTTTTTCTAGTCAAATTATTGGAATACTAATGGTAGTTATTTTTCCAAAATTTGCTCGTCCGCTTAATGCACATCAAATGTTAATTGAGACTTGTTCAAAAGATCTGAAAGATGATATAGCAATATTAGATTATTCAAGTAAAAGAAAATATTTATTTAATTTATTTATTTTACTTTTTTTATTTGATTTAGTTCCTCTGTATATAATGGTATTAATTATGGTGTTCGTAACACTTTTTTATTTTTATTTTTTTCAATGTAAATATAAACGACGATGCCAACACTAAATTATTTTTTTAAAAAATACTAAAGAGAAATTGTTTTATTTCTGAACATACATAATTTATATATTTTAGTTTTAGATGGATAAATTACCCTATGAAATTCTCTTTTCAATAGCTATTCAATTTGATTCACCAAAAGATTTAGCTTCATTTTCTCGAGTATCTCGATTATTTTTATCTGTATCACGTGATGATCGTATATGGCAACGATTATGCTATCGATTATATAATATTAAACCATCATTAAATGGAATGAAACAAAGTTTTTATGAGTAAGAATAATTCTTTTTCTTTTTTTATAAAATAAAAATTGAAATATTTTATTACAGTTTATTTACAAAAACTCTTGTACCTTATGGCCGATATCTTGGTTATTGGAAATCAAATGAAAGATATTTTGGTGGTCTTACTGATGTTACATTAAATATATTAGATGGAACTATTACAGGAGAAAAATTAAGTGTAATGAATGCTTCAAATAATATAGCTCAATATTATTTTGATGATGAAGATGAAGAAGCGAATGAATCATTTTTAAAACCAGTTTTTATACGATCAAAATTATTTACTATTGATAGTTTATCTCATCAAATCTATTGTCATCAATACAATCAGGCTCATCATGAATTATCTTGGATAAAAACTTTTAATAAAAATCAACAATATTTCGGTTTATCACAAGAAGCATTACCCAGTAATGAACGATCATTATTAATTACACATGATCATGATTTAACGGAAATACCCGGAGAACGAGATATTTATTTTACAAGACATTGTTCCGATGATTCAACAATTATTTATCATCCTCTATCAATTCCACAATCAACAACTGATGCGAGTAATCATTCATTATCACGTTTAAATGGTCTTTGGATAGGATCTTATGGTGGTCATGGTCTTGAATTACTTCATTTAGAATTGTGTCATGATTTTACATGTCCAACAACGGTTGATGGAATGTTAACAGATGCAGAAATTGTTCCAGATGCTTTAATTGCTAGAAAAATTTCCGGAGATCCGAATGTACCACATGGTAAAATAACTTTTGCTGCTATACATCCTCTTGAAGGTGAATCAGATTCTCCTTTATGTTATGAAGGCATTGGACAAAGTAAAAATAATCGATTTATATATATATATTTATTCTAATATTTTTCTTTTAGTTGCACATACAGGTTATGTTAATCCACAATTTATCCGTACAAAAGTAACTATATTATCGAATGATATGTTAACCGTCACATGGTATGCTTTACATCATACCTCATTGTTTAAAAGATGTATATTTTGATTTATTCATATTCGTTGTTATATTGTAATTGAAATATTAATAATAAACGAACTAACCATCAGTTAGTTAATTGTAAACTATCTTTTGCTAACGAAATTACATTATGAAAGAATGTATTCACTTAAAATTAATATGATCAGACAAACCGCATGAAATAAATATAATTTTGTTTTGTATGCAATATGGCGTTGCGCAGATTTAATGAAAACACTAATACTTAATAATCTACTAACCCGTAATAACTACCTAATTTATAGATATTTGTGCTTATCATAGTATTGAATCATATTTACTAACGAAATATAATAAAATAAGCATATATGTCTCTTCAAGATATACATCTATTGAGCAACCGTATTCCATTTCACATCAACAGATATGATCAGTATGGTTAGAATAAAATTGATATTAGTGAACCATTATGCAACTTGACAGTCAGCAGTTTATTAGAAATTCTTTACTCAGAGAATTCATACTGCAGTTTCTTTTAATTTAATGAAAATCATTAAATACTTGACTATATATATACTTGAAAGATAATAAAATCAAGATCATTATTTTTAACAGATCAAATTACTTATAAAACATCTGTTCAAAACTTTTCAACTGTCAATAGACAACGTTTTATAACAACTTATATTACATTCAATTAGATTTCTATTTTTAAAAAGAAAAAAATTTCAATGACTCATTTATGAGAGATGTCACTGAACATACATATATATATATATATAGTAAAATAATCTTTTCTTTCATTGGTGTATGATAATTTTCATCTGCTGATCCTTTCTTATAATTATTTTATAGAAATTTTTTGTAATAATTGTTCAAATGTTGATCGTTCGTCATCCTTCATAGCCAAACAATCATCTAAAACCATATTAATATACCATGATTCACATGGTACAGAAAAAATTGGTTTTTCACCATTTAATCGTCGTTTGACAACTTCAGGTGTAGTATTTTCATTCCAAATACGTTCTGCACCATGAGCTATTTCATAAAGTAAACATCCAAACATGTAAATATCCGATTTCTCTGTATAAATTTTTTTATCTTCAAGAGCTTCTGGTGCATAATGACGTATTGATCCTCTAACTGGCATTTTATTCATAGAATTGGTATTAATTGATACACTAAAATCTGATATTTTAACAGTCATATTTGATAGAAGAATATTATCAGTTTTAATATCACGATGAAGAATTCCAAGTGAAACAAGATGAACAAAACCTGCTAACATTTGTTTAATAAATTGTAACCATTGTATATTGGGAAAGATTGATTCTATTGTTTGACATGTTGATATACGATTTAATTTAATATATGAAAGAAGATCAATATTACATTTTTCCATAACACAAAATTGATTACCTATTCCAAATATACGAATTACATTTACATGATACGATGTTTCATTAGTTAATAATGTTAGAATTTTTGATTCATTTTCAAATTGTTTACGTTCACGAATAACTTTAACAGCAACTTCTTCATTTTTATATTGTTTAGAATAAACTGTTGCACATCGACCTTGACCAATTTCAATTTCTTCATTATTATCAAATTCTGACCAAAGAATGGTTTCATTTACTGAACGATAATTAATTCCATGTTGACGATGATAATCAAGTACCGATGGGTGAATATCATTGATTGGCGAATCCAAAAGATTTTGACTTATCTGTTGACGAATATTAGTACTACTCATATATTTTATACATTGATTATCATGTAGATGAATGATATTATTATGATACGGTTTTATTGTTGATGATTGAAACCATTCATTAAAATCAAATTCATCGATCGGTCGATTAGTTATACAAATAACAAGTTCTTTTTTAAATGTTGATTTAAATTTTGGTAATGCATCACCACCACAAATCGATATAATTTCAATTGTAGGATAAGATTTTCGTAGAAAATCACCTAGATGTTGTTTCGATTGTTGTCCACCAGGATTTTTCTCTTGAGATATTTGCCATTCATCAATCATAATCCATGATGAATCTTGAACAGCTAAATGACACATTTCAAGACGATTTTGCCATGTTGCATAACACATTGATACTTTTCGTTGAATACATGCATCATGTGCTGGTGAAATATAACCACCAACAACATGATACTGATTTAATGAATTACAATGTTCTCGTGCTAATTCTAATAAACGAATATGATTATTATGTATTGGATTAAAACATCCATTAAGTAATAATACAATATTCGTTTTTGTTGTCGATAAAGGCAAGAGTAGTTTATCAGTCTGAATCATAATTTCTAAATGAAATTTATGAAAGAAAGAAAATATATATATATAATATAATTTCATAGTTATTACGCAATTTCTAGATGTACGGTGCTATTGACGAGCAAATACCTGTATCACCATCGCCTACAACTGAATTAATACCAGTTGAATTTAAAGTATATAAACGACGATGGCTTTATTTAGTTTGCATATGTTTGGCAAATATGTCAAATTCTATTGTAAGAATTTTGTTTTATGTATATATATATAGACGAAAATAATTTTTATTTTAGTTATGGATTAATTTTGCATCAATTGCTAATATAGCAAAAAGTTATTTTGATGTTTCATATAGCGCGATTAATTGGCTTTCACTTATATTTATGATTATTTGTAGTATTTTTACATTACCATCAACATGGGCTATTGATCGATTTGGTATTCGATTTGGAGTAAATTTTTTTTAACAAAATCAACGGAATAAAATTTATTTTTTTTATAGATTTTAACAGGTGTTTGGTTAAATTTAATTGGTGGATGTTTTCGTATTATTAGTACATGGGTATCAATCAAAGGTCGTTATCCAATTGTTTTTATTGGTAAAGATAAATTTAAATAGTTTCTTGTTTTTATCATGTATATATTTTAATTAAAATAGGACAAATGATTTGTGCCTTTGCTCAAACATTTACATTATTTTTACCAACAAAATTTGCATTTGTTTGGTTTCCTGACCATCAACGAACATTGGCTAATAGTCTCTGTTTTGCCAGTAAGAAAAAAAAATAAAATGAAGATTAAAATTAATTGAAAATTATTTCCTAGCTAATTTTTTGGGTGTATTTATTGGAACTGTTGCTCCACCAATTATTGTTCCACATGAAAGTCGAATACCTTTATTAGTTTGTTTAATTTTTTCTTTTAATATTCTATATTTAATAAAAAATTTTCATTTAGCTTTATTTAACATTAATACCAGCTATACTTGCAGCTGCTTTATCATTTACTGTTCGATCATCACAACCACCAACACCATCATGTTTAGCTTCACTTGATGTTAAAATTCCATATAAATCAGTTTTTAAAAAAGTATAAAATTGATTTATTTGATTTATTTGAGAAAAATATTTCGTTTAGCTTTTAAAATCAAAATCTTATTTAATTTTATTTGCTACTGTTGGTATTGGTTTATCAAATAATAATACACTTTCAACATTATTACAACAAATCATGTGTCCATTCGGTTATGATAATATAGCTGTTGGTTTATGTATTGGTTGTTTTATTATTTTTGGCCTTATTGGATGTATTCTTATGGGATATATAGCGGATAAAACGAGGAAATTAGAAGAAGTAACAAAAATTTTATATTCAGTTGGAGTTATTTCACTAATGTGTATTGGATTAGTAAGTAGAAAATTAACGAAAAAAAGCAGCCTTATCGATTTGATTTATCTGAATAGTTCATTGTAAATGAAGTTAAATCGTATTGGCTTTATCTAATATTTGCTATAGCTGGTTTATCTAATGCACCTGTACTTCCATTAAGTTTAGATCTGAGTATTGAAACGTATGTAATTTCTACATATTAATTTTCCATTAGTAATAAATCTATCAATTATTTTTAGAACCCATCCAGTTCCAGAAGCTACTGTTGCAGGTATATTCATGGTTGCCAGGTAAATAATAATAAAATCTATGGTTTATATTTATCTGAATAAAATTTTTCATGATTTCTTTTTTATAGTCAATTAGGAAGTATTCTTGCTATTGTAATTTTACCATATTTTACAATGGCACCTTCTGCTCATCAAATGAGTATACAAAAGTGTGAAGTTCAAGATGGAAAACTTAATGACATTCGAGATTATTCTAGTATAACTATTCATTCTGTTAAAATATAATTAAAAATTTATTCTTTGTTTAGTTCCTGTATATATTTTAGCAGTAACATCGGTTGTTCTTGTTATTTGTTTCATTACATTTTTCCATTGTGAATATCGTCGACAAACAAAAGATGAAATTGAACATCATGCAGCAGCAATAGTTGTTGACACTAATCCAGAATTAGCATAAACAATAAAAAATAGCATGTGCAATTATTGTAAAATACTTTTCGTTTTTCATATTTATTCGAAGCATATAGATATTGTTTCTTTATTTCAAAAATCTATAAGATTACTTTGTAATTTCTATTTTTTTCTTCTTTATAGATGTCTGTAACATTACATACAGATTTAGGTGATATTAAAATTGAACTCTATTGTGACCAATGTCCAAAAGCATGTGAAGTAAATATTTAAATAAACAGAAGAATAGATTGAATTTATTAAAAAATAAATTTAGAATTTTTTGGCATTATGTGCAAGTAATTATTATGATAATTGTTTATTCCATCGAAATGTTAAAGGTTATATGATTCAAACGGGTGATCCAACTGGATTAGGTAAAGGTGGTCAAAGTATTTGGGGAGAATATTTTCCAGTAAGATTATTAATACATAACTTATCATTTATTTATTTATTTGTTTATTTAGGATGAAATTAATGAACATTTAAAAGTAAATTATCAGATCGAATTCCATTCTTTTTCTTTTTAAAGCTAAGAAATATATTTATTTAGCATAGTCAACGTGGAATGGTTTCAATGGCTAGTCGTGGTGCGAATACAAATGGTTCACAATTCTTTATAACTTATGGAAAACAGACGAATCTTGATGGAAAATATACTGTATTTGGTAAAGTCA